AGACACGTTTTAAATTAAAAAACAAACAAATAATGATTTTAAAGGACGCATTAGTGAATATCAGCAGCAGAGCAGTTGTGAAATATCCTAAAATGCTGTAAGAGCAGCTGTCCTAAGGCCACAGCTGAAAAACACACACTCATTAAAATTATATCCACTCATTAAAGATACACACAAACAATAACAGACACAAACAAAGCCAGCGGAGGTTGAGCAGAAAGAAACGCCAGGGGAGCAAATGCTGCCAGACACCAGTGGTCCCTGTGGATGAGGCAGCAGAGGTCTTTAATATGCATGCGCACACACACACACAGTCACACGCACATGCACACACATGCACACAAAGAATTTGTGATTCTCAGGGTGTGAAGGTTGTTTCGGTCACAACAGATGATGCAAAAATGTAAAATGTTCGTGGGGGAAACCTGGAGCGTTTCTAGTCACATAAGCTCTGACTGAAACATGAATCCATAATAACAAGCTCCAGCAGAGGTTGTGTGTTTCCCAGCAGATATGCAGGTCATGTCTGGTTCATATTTTTTTAAGCTGCAGCTCAAATGTATCTCATCAAAACCCCATTCAAAGCGTAAAAGTCCACACCGGCTGATCAGCTAGTGACTGAAAGGGCTGAGCGTTTGTTTCCAAATGCCAGAAAAGGTCAAAGCACTGCAGTTATGTATCTAACTGATTTACTCTTTCTGTATCTTGAGGCAGATAAGATGAGGGCAGAAAGCTACATTTCATAAACAATGACTATTAAACATATATATATATATTTTTTTTAAACAATTGAATACCTGAGATAACAAGAAAGACCAACACCATAAGGTAGCATGCTAATACGCTCTTACAAGATGAGCATATTGATGTTTAGCAGGCATAACTTTTTTTTACCACGTTTACAAGCTTAGTTCGAAATATGCTTTGTAAGTTTTATTTTCCATGTTATTGATGGACATTTGTTTATTTGACTTCTAAATCATCTGATTTATTGAATCTTATCATGTCACTTAAACCAGTTCTTTGGTCTTAAATGAATCATAACCAGATTATACTCTATTATTCTACTCAGCTGTAATCCATGACCCACACACTCGTCTTGAAGCCCCCAGAGAGTCTCTGAGATCTAGAAAAGAATAAAAGCCTTTTCAAATTTGATTGATTTATTCCTGATTCAACATTTTTCTTCGGGAACCTGATCAAGGCCACAAGCCGAAACGCGTCAGTCTAATTTGTTAACAAAGTTGATCTTCATACTACAAGTGCTGCTGGAGCTTTTCTGACCTCTTCAAGCCTTTAATTTCTTCTGGTGCAACCATAAAGATGAATCTGTACTTGAATAAAAAGTCTGGACCGTGGTTATACTCATTAATGAAAACTAACCAAAGAAATAATAAAACTAAAATGTTTGTTGATGAATGTAACCATCAGGACAAAGCTCGGTATGGCTCGTGTAGCTTGTCACAGTTGTCTAGCTATAGTGATGCTACCTTATTCAGTGAGCAATATGCAAGAATCTGTTGTGATTCAATACAAAAACATTGAATTCATAATAAAACTGCGTCCATATTCATTTCATAGAAGACGCCTACTGTAATAAGCTGCTCTAACGCTGCTGCTGAGATTCATGAAGACTCAATGGATCCCCTCCACGTCATCGTGAATCTCTGTTAAATACATCATGTCATTCATGACAATCTTGGCCGGTGTTTAAAGATCCTGAATGTGATTAAAGCCTAATTCTGGCCCTCATACAGACACAATCTGTCTCGTACCACCCATGACTAAAACCATTAGGACCCCTGGGCTAAAACGGGCGTTTTCTGTGCTACTTTTATACTCTGCATGCAGAGACAAGAGGCAGTGAATGAGTGCGTGTAGCAAAGTGATTTGTCACACTCACAGCACACTTGGCTGAACAAAGAAGTCCCCTCTCTCTGCAACATCACAAAGCACGGCTGTTGCAGCATCATGATTGGTGGAAAGCAGACACTCTGTCAGGTGATTGGTTTATAGCCTGGGGGGCTCAGTTATCATGAGTCAGCCCCTTTTTCAGCCTTTAGAGAGGGAGGAGGGGAGCAAGACAGACTGAACGAGACAGAGAGACGCAGAAAGTGAAAAGAGATTCAAGGAAGAAGACAAAATGACCGTTTCATTCGAAAAAAATCAAAGCTGCAAAGAGGTGCATTTTTAACTCAGACATGTGACTCAATGTTTTATTAGAAAAATGTGTGGTCGCACACACAAAAAAGATACAGAAGGGAATGCTAACGCTCTTTTTTCTGTACTTAAAAATATCTGTATAAACCGGAAATCAATTGTCTTAAGATTCTAAACTGTCATTCAGCTCAGCGTCGACATCGAACAGAAAATGATGAGTATAAGAACAGATCCACTTCACTACTCAGGTCCCGAATTAAGCGGGAGAAGGCAAAGTCCAAAATGTGTTTGTACTTTCCATTTTAGTATGTTTTACAGACTCAGAGATGAAGGAATTGAATAATCTGCACATGAGCTATGACGATAGGTAATAAACTGAAAGACAAAATAACATCGGTCTCAATAACAGGCCTGAAATGAAAAGTACATGTGTGTGTGTGTGTGTGTGTGTGTGTGTGTGTGTGTGTGTGTCCACGGACGAGTCGACTGCACTGGAATGCGCACACTCGTCAAAGAGAGTGTGTTAGAAGCGTCTGTAGTAGCGCTGCGGGGGTCCGTAGTGCATGGGCAGGTCCATCATGTCCATGTTGTGGTGATGGGGGTTAACAGGAGCGTTGTTGTGGTGGTGATGGTGGTGATGGTTGTTGTTATTGTTCAGGATGGGCAATGGCTGCAGGGGGGGCACATAGGGGGCCGGGGGCAGCCGGGGCAGGATCACCTGATGGTACATCTGGGCCTGAGGCGGACCAGGTGGGTACCGGCCGCGTGGAGGGACAAACAGGGGCGCTTGAACCGCCTGAGGATGGGGAGGGGCCGGTGGGTTCGGTGGGTTTTCGGGGGGCGGACCCACGCGAGGCCTCTTGGCTTCTGTGATTGGCTCGGGCGGAGGGCCGACCCTCTTCCCTGAATTATCTGAAAGAAGGAGGAAAAAGGGAACTGTGATCGATGGTGAAGCAGCAGTGTTGTCTGATATCTTCTTCAGGTTTTATTGAGTAAGGTACGGCAGCTGACAAGGGACAACAGGCTGCAAGTAGCCAGCAGATTTTCATCAGAGGAAACAGAATGCTAAATTAAAGAATGTAAAGTCTAAAACAAATATAACAATGGAAACATAAAGACGTGAAAACAAACGAAAACGCAAAGAACAGCGCTGCATATAGAATGATTGCAACAGAAGTGCTCCAGACCTAAAGGGGGCGCTGAGTGGAACTGGATTTCAGTGGGACTTCTTTTATGGAGAAAATAATAAAGAAAGTTGATTTTGGCCACCTCAGCTGGCAGCACTGAAAACAGCTTCTCAGACACATTTGGGTGTTGCTACCGATAACTGCCTTATTCTCCCCTCCGTGTCTTTGTCTGTTCCATATCACATCATAGTAATCAATAAATGTAGAGCCTGCTCTACATGCTCCAAGTTAGCGCCCCCTACAGGCCTGGATCATTTTTGTTTTAAATGACTGTATTTGCAGCGTTTTTCTGTTGCATGTGATTTTTGGATTTGGATCGGTATCTATGTTTTTGTACCCTCTTAATGCTCTTCTTTTCCATTAATGCTTTTTTTTTTGTATTTTTCTTGTAAAAACATTTTTTTGCATAACTTCTCGATTTGGAAATCTTTTGGGCTCTTGCTTGCTGATTGCCCTTGTTGGCCACCATAATGACGACTTCATGTCAGAGTTTCTTTTCAGGGTCGAATGTTACCTCGCACGACCTCACTGTCTCCTCCCCTAAAAAAAAAATGAACACAAACACTCTCAAACAAACAAAACACAGGAAACCCGCTTGCTACTGCTGCTGGTATGTCTTGTAAACATCCAACATGTCTTAAAAGACAAAGAGTTGGCAGCAGAGAGGAGGAACAACGAGGCTGCTGCAGTGAAACATTTCCCAGCGAAGGAACATCATTCACATCATCTTTTGAAAACTGACCTGTACTCTTCTTATTCAGCTCGGCCTCGCCTTCCTTCTGGATCTCCTGAATGATCCGCTCGTCATCTTGCTGCAGAAACACACAAACACACAGAAAACGTTAGCAATTAATGAATTGCAACAAGGGGCTGAGGGTTGGAGGCAAAACCCTTTGCACATGTTCCGACCACTGAGCCAAACCGGCCCCTGCCATGATCCTTTTTACATCAAAGAGTTAAGTGAACAAAGATGTGTGTGTGTGTGTGTGTGTGTGTGTGTGTGTGTGTGTGTGTGTGTGTGTGTGTGTGTGTGTGTGTGTATTGGTTGGCCTCTAGAAAAGGAAGACCTGAAACAAACCCTGCAGCTCAGTTCACTTTAACAAATACTTTAAAAGTCCTCGGGTTCTCAGTATTTGTCCATTTCTTGGCTCTGCTGCGCCTCTGGAGAACCTCCAGCTCATTAAGTGTTCAGGCACTAATTGTTTGGTCTGGCTGGCAGTGATGCTGTGGCCGGGTCATTGTGTGATGCCATGCGTTCAAATGGTCGGGGTCAAAGTGTCTTTACTTTTTTTTTTTTTTGTAAGAAAATGCACAAGTGGTCAGGCGACAGATGGCAAGAGAACTGAGCGAGCACTGTTATTGAGAACTCAGCCGTTGATCAGAGAAAAGTTAGACTCTACTTATTGTACCTTGGAGGCATCAATATTGTTTATTTTCACTGCATTGGTGTCAAAGTTCTCATTTATGGTTGCCAAAGAAACACTTAAGAAGTTACCGTGGGGTCGGTCCACAGTGAGCACTTGCGGCAGTGGCGGCAGGGAGCTCCGGGCGAGCGTGCGTGCTGGCAGAAGTGGTTGTAGCCGTTGATTGGTTCTCTGCAGAGATAGCACATGAAGCTGCCGCAGCGGCACGACATCCGATTGCAGCCCTCCGACTTCACCAGACCCGTCCCGCACTTCACACACTTCCTGACTCGAGCCGCCGTCATTCGCTCCTCGCTGAAATGCAGGGATTGAATCACAGAGGTAAATAAAATAAAAAAGATGAGGAAATAATTTAAAAAAGAAAGAAAGTTGAGTTGAGTTCAGAACAGTATCGTAAAAGTATGTCTCAAACTCTGCAGATGAACACTATCCTAGACTCGTGCATGTTTTCATTGTAAGATCTTAGCATCACTTTCAAAAGGATCTTGAGACAAAGACCAATTTTGAGAACCAGAACACTAATAGCAGCATTACATTTCAGTGAATCTAAAAGGTGGAGTTTAAGAACCAATAATATTCATTTGAAATGTTTATAGCTCTGTTTTGAAAAAGTTTGCAGATGAGTGCAGAGTCCAGTTTTTCTTTCTAATGTCAGAGCCACGCCCACATGATCCAGAGAGCGAGAGAGAGAGAGAGAGAGAGAGGGAGAGAGAGAATGCTGGTGCTTCGGGGGATCTAATAACCATCAGGTCCGTGCTCCTCACTTCTTGATCTCTCTACCAGACTGCTTCTCGTCTCTTTCAGTACCGGGAAGTGAGAAGATCCGTGAACGGCTCAAAACAGGACGTGCTTGCCTGTGGGCCAGCTGTTTCACGGGAAGCAGCCGGGCCTGTCCGCTTCCTGGTGCGTCATCCTGTGTACTGTTTACCCAGCATCCTCTCTGGGTTATAAGGAGGCCTGTTGTTTGAGTGTTCTAATGTTAAACAAAAACGACATGCATCTGAATCATAACTTGTTTTCTTTTCATTTCCTCTCGTCTGGGTTTTTGTCTGCTTGGTTTAAAAGCTACACTCGGCAAAATTATTTTAATCAGAACTGTGGGTCACAAAGCTTGATCACTGCCCATCACTAATTCAATCAAATAGAAATGATGTCTGATCTGTGAGCACTGCCCCGTTGTATTTAGACTTTTTGTTTTAAACTCGAAATCAAACAGATAAGCTCATAAGAAACCAATCAGAGAGACAATCTACTAACTATCATAATCTGCCTTCTACATGACTCTCTCTCTCTCTCCTCACCACGGTGCTGCAGAGAGCACAGCAGCTGTGCGGCACACACCTGTTGCTACTTGTTGTTGGACGTGTATTGATCGGCTGCCGGTCAGTGTTTTTGACCTCCAAGTCTGACATAACCGACCTGCTGGAACAAACAGTAACAGTGATAACGTTTGCCATGCATGTCTGGAGCATCGTTTGGTGGGATGGGCGTAGCAGAATGAATGAATCGAGGTAGCAGAAGGAGAGGCGGAAGATTCCCCCTCCCGACTGAAAGAATCATGTTGCTTACTGCCCCTTTAACGTCGTATTGACTTCACCTTTTCTTGTCTACTGGGCGTTTAGTTCACTTGTTTGTGTAAGCACTTTGTAACTCTCCTTTGTTAAGGTGCTTTACTGTATATGTGACGTTATTATTCTCTTTGGGCGCACTCACACTGGAGAAGAGACTTGCTGGTTGCTATGACTCAATAAAATATGTATTTGGATCAAAAATGAAACGTTAGATCTTTACTAACCAATGTTTTACGAATCCCCTCCTTAAAAAAAAAATGACTAAACTGTTCAGACGATGAGCGTGAGAGTGTCGGTGTGTTGACAAAAGGGGTCCAACTGAGTCCTGTTTGTGTCTTGTCTCTTTTTGTTTAACACACTTACAAGAGCACCCTCATGCGGATCTCGTCCCTCTCCAGGACCTGCTCACACGTCTTCCCCACGTGCTGCTTCCACTGGACGTGACACTTTCTGCAGCTCTCCTGGAGAAAGACAAAAGTTCAATGAGATCTCAGTGGTGAGGAGCTTGAAAGAGGGATTCAGTAGATAGTTTATAAAAAATTTTAAAAAAGGAAACCTAAATAATCTTCTTGTAACATGTATTAATCACAGAGTTCCTTAAATATGCTATAATTACAAGAGATGATCCCATATTTCGACACCACATTCATCCATCACTCCTCCTCTGACTTTCCTCCCCCCCCCCCCCCCCATCTTTCGCTTTACCACTGGAGCCACGAGGTCTGGATTCTGGTCCTGCTCTATATGCTGCTGGTGCTGCCACTGCAGGAACTTGGACTTGCACAGACACAGCAAGGTGTGGCTCTCCCTGCAAAATGTGGGTGTGTGTGTGTGTGTGACTGCAGCGAGAGTGGGATTTTCTCGCTAGCTGACTGCTCGGTTGCCTAGAAACAGCAACTCCATCCTCCAGCCGGCAGTCTGAGATAGTTGAGAGCTGAAAGGACGTGCGGGGGCAGAAACACACGTTAGCGAGGGATTGCCACCCTTTGCTAACCTTTAGCTAAGTGGTGTCACCATAAATATTTGAGCCTCTTCATCAAATATTAAAGAGTGTGGCATGTGACAGCTGATGCAGCACAATATGAGCAATACATCTCCCAGCAACCCGCCCGCCCCCCCGACCTTCAACCTCAGGGAAAGTAACCTTGCATTCGTCAGACACACACCCTCGACAGTTATTCACCCTCTTTACACATCCTGCAGTCTGTTCTTGTCTGATATTGCTTTGTGCTTCAGCTGCCACAGGCTCAGTTCTCAGAGACGGTTGTGTTTGCAAGGTCAGCCAGAGGGTGGGGGAGCTGGAGCGGTTTCGATGGAAACACTGAAGACTCTCTGAAAGTCACACAAGGACTTTTCCAATCATAATGTGGCCGCTTCAAACTGAAGAGAAGCCTTTTTCTTCAAAGTGGACCATATTTTCTTTTCCATTTCTGTGGTATTTCTGATTTTAAAAAAGGAGCGTCCAAGCAAAGACATGCAATGAAACATACTTGTGAAACATAAGAGTGTGTGTGAAGTGCAAAAAAATATATATAACAAGGACACACTTTGGACCCTGATTTGTGATTTGTACAGGAGGTAAGGAGGAGTTAGAAGAGGACTCAAGTGTCAGTAAAAGCTGGCTCACACAAAGACAGGGAGGCAGAGTGGTGGAAGATCGCCCCCTAGTGGCAGACAAAGAGACTAGGAGGAGTCGCAGCATGTGAGAGAGCGTGACAGAGAGCATGAGAGAGAGAACGAGCGTCCGCGGGACTTGCTTGACAAGAAGTCGAAAAGGCAGGAACACACCTGAGCTCTTATAGCGAGGCTAAAAATACAGCCGGTGACGTTGCAGACAACCCTTGCACGGGGTGTGACTTCCCCGCCCCAAGGGTGTCGAGTTCAAATAATTATGTGACGCTGGTATGTGACAAAGGTCATGTGCACACATGTACACAATTACTGCTGTTTTACTTCCTCCTTTGTTCATCCTGTTTTAACGTTTCTCCATTTCTCCCTTCGTTGCACTCCTCTCCCCTGGGTCCTATCCTCTTTCCTCACCTCCTTCCTTGCTCTCTTGCACCCTGCATCATCCCCTTCCTCCGTCTTCATTCATACCGTCCCGTTCCTCCACTGCATCTCCCCCTTATTCTGTCTCTTCTGTTATATTGCAGTCTGCAGCAGCCCTTATAAGGCAGTGCAAGCAGCATGCAGAGCTTCCGATTGCTGCATTGAGCTTGTGTGTGTGTGTGTGTGTGTGTGTGTGTGTGTGTGTGTGTGTGTGTGTGTGTGTGCCCAAGCCTGTTTATTGTAGGGAGGTGCCTTTTACTGCAATCAAATGTGAGTACACACCACATGGTTAGGAGAAGTAAAGAGATGTGTGTAACATGAGTCCATTCAGATCTGTTGAGATATGGAGCAGATGTGAAAATGTCCCAAGATGCCAACTGGTGCAACAAATGCACAAACACACACACACACACACATCTGTGCATTTTTCCAGCTCTCATTTACACCATGACAGCCTTCCAGTGGCCTACATTCACATTCCTCAGCTTTCATGAAGTAATCACACACAGGACAAAAACAAACCTGTCCAAATGTCCTCATAACCACATGTGGAATATATTGGTAAGTCCCTACTTGTGCGCAGAAATATGTATGTGTGTATGTGTGTGTGTGTGTGTGTGTGTGTGTGTGTGTGTGTGTGTGTGTGTGTGTGTGTGTGTAGGTCAGACAGAGCCGAAGGGTAGCAGAAGAAAAGAAAAGAGAGGGGGGGGAGGAGAATCTGGGTCAAACTTGATCTGAACCACATTTGAAATGGAGGAGGAAGTGTGTCGGACCAGTGAGGGACCAGTACAAGGGGAGTGGACAGGGCAGCCAGCCAATGAGGCGACAGTGTGAGAGAAGACAGGGTGGGCTCACAGAAGTGTGTCAGTTACATAATGAAGCCCCTCCCTGCTCGTGGACTGAGTGGGTCTGTGGGTCGACTGTACGGCAACTGTCTTCAACTGTTCTTCCACTAATGGGAAACAGGATTAAAAAAATATGTCATATTTATATATTCATTATATTTGTGTGTATATGGCAGAGGAAGTGGGGACTCTGCAGAACACGCTTAACAAAGCAGCCACAGTCTCACATCCTGATTCTTGACTGACATTAACCAGGAAACCAGCTGTGTTAACTTTCTGTCGAAATAGATCAATATGTGGTTTTCCTTTTATAGTTTAAAAAGGTCCAGAAAACATGAAACATAAAAACATTTTTACAAGCCCTGCAGTTGTTCGGTTCTGAAATCAGAAAAGAATCACACCAGGAGAAACCACGAGCAACTCTTTTTTGCTCAATCTTGGGTGTGTATGAGAATGTGATGTGATGCAGCGGTGCGGCGTCACTTTAGAGCTGCTACTATGAACCTCTGGCTCCACCTATTGGCGCATTGATAGAACTACAACTGTGGTTATAACCCGTCTAGTTGGGGAGCTAAAACACAGCTATACATTTAATTCACACAAGAATGCCTATATTTACCTTATATACACACGACGTCACACTTGCTCAAATAGAATAATGTTCTGCTGGTTGCAACTTGCATGTTGTACAAATAGAGCCATCTAACAGCACTTACAGCTGCTGGTATCAGAGGAAAATGGCCACCATGAATTTGGTGAATAAAGATAATAGAGGCACCCAGTAATGACTTATTCTGTGAATGAATCGCTCTACTTATGCAGAAGTTTCCAAGGGGTTTCTGATTGACAAATAGACCATCCAGACCCTGACTCTGCAGTTAAAAATAGAATAGAATAGAACAGGAACTACGATTGTGTAGGTTAGTAAGTTCACCTGTTTCTCAAAGGGGTCATGCAATGGAAACGCCCTTAAAAATAAACAAATGTTCAGTAATGTGCTGCCACGCTACCGCTGAGGAACTTTCCACATGTTAGTCCTCTGTTTTGATGGTGATGTCTGCCTCTTTTGTGACTGCCATTTAAAAGGCAGCACAGTCAGATGTGTAACAGGTTTATTTCGGGGTGGGAATCGCAGAGTAACTCGCAAAACAATACGATATGCCAACATGGCTCACAATAACAATGATGTCACAAAACAGGGATTCTGCGATGATCGATTTATTACAAGACAATCATTTATTATGATACCTCAAGATGTCTGATTAACTGAACATTTACGCTGTTTTACTCTGAAAATGAGTAGTCCGGCACACAAACATGTTGGCATGGAGCTGGTGTTTCCCCCGGCTAATGACGGCACGCCGGTAAGTTTAGGAGTAGATACAATTCAGGAATTGGACGCGATTCGGACCAGAGAATATGACGGATGTGGATGTAGCGGCAAAGAAGAGAAAATGTAATCACGGTGAGGCGAAACGCCGAGCGGATAAAGCTTTTTCCAAAACGAGTATGGACCTTTAGTTGGCCCTTTAACCGCGGACACAGAGTTAGCCTGCTTTCTGTTGGACAACAGGGACCAAACACCGGTGGTTAGCTTGTGCTAGATTGCGCCAGTAGATGCAGTGTAGGTACAAGCAGTAAACGTAAACACTACGTCCTGCATTGAGTGTGCGCTTCTGGGGGGGGCGATGATCCAACGAGGAGGGGCCGAGTTTGAATGTTGTGTTTACAATTTCTACTGGCTCTCCCTTTAAAATTACAAAATAATTAATTTTACAATAATACAGACAGCATATATTCACATTAAGGAAAATGCATTGCGGTTCCTTTTAAATGATGATTTAATTTTTATTGATCAACGTATGTTTTAGTGTGTAAGCACTGCATCCCTATTTGATATATTGTTTTAACATAATGTGGGCTTATCCTCGAGATGTTTAGTTCATTCTTACTTGAGGCCTTCATGCCACGGCGTGAATAAATGTTATTTTTTTATTTCAGGATGCTTACACAACCACATCTCTGTCTTCCTGGGAATACATCAAAACCACGTGTGTGTGTGTGTGTGTGTGTGTCTGTGTTTGTTTTGAGTCACACAGGGAGTGTGGTGCTGTGGCAGAATAGAAGAACAGACACAAAAAAAAAAAAAAGAGACAAAGACACACAAAGAATACGAAGAGAGGGTTGATGTTTGTGTTGGTAAGAGCGAGGGATGATTGTTGGTATGATGTGTTTGCGAGTTTCTGCAGAATAACAGAGATTTTCAGGCTGGAATTCATGTGACGGCTTTGGCAGACACAAAGCAAAGCCTCCCCCTGCATTCCTCTGACAGGGGGAGGAGGCTGCAGATAAACAGGGAGGGAGTCAGAGGTGGCGATCTCACCAGTTGGGACCATTTAATCACCTCCACAGAAACACTGGTCATCAATCTGTCCTCTGTCCTGGACTCTGATCTCTGTATCATGTCTGGAATGCACTGATGTGATTCATGCTGAGGTGGACGATGCACTCAGAGTTTGTGAGGTTTCCAAGTCGTGGTGGACTGAATTAATCATGATGTGTCCACTTGAATTCTACTAAAAATTCATTGTGTGTTTGCACCGGATTAACCTCTAACATATGTGATTACATTAGAGGACCAGGCAA